GGTTGCGGGCACATCCCCAGTGGGAGATGTGCAGGAGGCAGCTGATCAATGTTTCTCTCTCATCGATGTCTCTAACTCTCTATCCCTCTCGCGTCCTCTCTGTAAAACATTAATAAAATATATTTAAAAAAAAACCAAAAAAAAAAGCTCAGAGATCGAGCCGTAACCAGTTTGGCTCAATGGATAGAGCGTCAGCCTGCGGACTCAAGAGTCCCAGGTTCGATTCCAGTCAAGGGCATGTACCTTGGTTGCAGGCACATCCTGAGGAGGGAGTGTGTAGGAGGCAGCTGATCGATGTTTCTCTCTCATCGATGTTTCTAACTCTCTATCCCTCTCCCTTCCTCTCTGTAAAAAATCAATAATATATATATGTGTGTGTATATATATATATATATATATATATATATATATATATATATATTTTTTTTTTTTTAAAGCTCAGAGACTGAATGGCGGAATGACCAGAACAACCAGTTGACCAGTTGCTATGATGCACACTGACCACCAGGGGGCAGACGTTCAACGCAGGAGCTGCCCCCTGGTGGTCAGTGCACTCAGCTGACTGGCATGAGCAGCTGCTACCGCAGTGGGAGCAGCCGCTCAGAGGGCAGGTCCATAGCTGCTCTGGTGACCTGGATGAGAGGCACTCCCACAGCGGGCCAATCCCCACAGGCCACACACCCCACCAGTGCACGAATACTGTGCACCAGGCCTCTCATTGATGTATAATTGACCTATGACATTGTATTAGTATAAGGTGTACAACATAATGATTTAACATATGTAATATTGTGAAATGATTACCACAAAAATGTAACATTCATCATTTCACATAGTTAGACATTTATTTTCTTTGTGATGGACACCTTTAAGATCTACGTTCTTAGCAACTTTCTGACCAAGCAGTGCCTACAGATTTTCCTGTGACTGTCTCTGGTTTAACTTGCCTGGCTCCTTTATTTTATAGGTGCTGATAGTTGATCTCTGTGCGGACAAGTTCTTACAGGAGGTGAGTGACAAAGAAGGTGATTACATAATGTTTGGGGATAATTAGACAGGAAATATGTGAAAGTACTTAGAGAAGATGAGTCAGGCACAACTTTGAGTTCCTACACATACTTGACCTGGCACTGTGGCTGATCATACACAATTGACCTGAACCGTTTGGCTTGGGCTTAGCTGTGTAACCCAAAGAAGGAAGGAGGAAACAGATTACAGGTGCTTCTCAAAAGAGGCAACTCTCGCTTCAAGTCCAGACGGGTTGACATATAAGCCTCTAATTTAATTAAACATAACGAGCATTTGAAACTGATTATTTCCAGATATTCTGAATCTAAATATGAGTAAGACACAGTTTGAGCCCTTAGGCCTTACAGTCTAACAGTGGGGAGGGGGTGCAGACATACACATAAAGTTTTAGAAATGGTGTAATAGAAATTTGTACAAGGTATACAGTAGGGATAAAAAAGACGTGGTCATTTCTTCTGGGTATGAAAGTGGGAGAGAGAGTTGGTAACGCCTGCTTAGAGCAGCCCTTAGTATATGTAAACTGTATGTAGGCTTGTGAGCACTGAACCCAGGGCTGAAAGAATGTTTCCCTAGACTTTTTTCAAAATCCCTTAGCTCATCACTTTTGAAACACCATTTGTTTGGGGATGATCTTTCTAATGTAGCATAAGACTTGTAAATGAGAGATATTTAATAGAAAGTGCCAGAAAATTTGGTAATTATATTATTTAATATAGTGAAGATGTAGACGCCATAAGCATCTTGGAGTCTGCTCAGTGCGGGAAGGAAGCTTCACACTGACTCTCCAGCCACATATACAGTCACTGTGGCATTTGGGGGCCCTAACTAGTGCACTCTCTCTCTCTCTCTCTCTCTCAAAGTTTATGAACATTTTCAATTTCTTCTCTTAAGGTATCTGACGAGGATGAGATTTTACCACAAGCTGCCCTAATGCAGATTTTGGAAGAACGAAATGAAATTTTGGCTCAGGAGCAGAATTTCTCACAAGGTATGTGACAGGTGGCCTGAGGACTTGCGGTCAAGGCAGTAAATATTTACTGAATGTCAGCACCCGCTCCAGGACATGCAAGGTAGAGAGTATGAGATTGTGCCTGTGTCCTAAAAAGCTTATGTTGAGCTTCCCGCTGACCCTCACTGTGCCAGCTCCCCTTCTACTTCAGGACTTTTGCACTTGCCTGGTTGCATTTATGGAAAGCTCTTCCCCCAGAGAGCCCCCTGGCTCCTGCTCTTTCTTCATTCCCAAGTGTCACCTTGTCATGAGGCTGTTCCTGACTGTCCTGTCCTGGGGGTGGTAAATTAGTGCGGCTGCTGTGGAAAAACACTATGGAGGTTCCTCAGAAAATTAAAATTAGAGTGGCCATACAACCTAGCAATTCCACTTCTGGGTATTTATCCGAAGAAAACAAAAACACTTAATTCAAAAAGGTATATGCACCCCTATGATCATTGTAGCATTGCTAGTAAAAGGCAAGATATGGAAGCAACCTAGAATGAATGGGAAAAGAAGATGTGTATAAATACACAATGGACTATTACTCAGCAATAATACCATTGCCATTTGTGACAACACAGATGGACCTAGACCAGCGGTTCTCAACCTGTGGGTCGCGACCCCTTTGGGGGTCGAACGACCCTTTCACAGGGGTCGCCTAAGACCATCAGAAAACACATGTATAATTACATATTGTTTTTGTGATTAATCACTATGCTTTACTTATGTTCAGTTTGTAACAATGAAATTGGGGGTCACCACAACATGAGGAACTGTATTAAAGGGTCTCGGCATTAGGAAGGTTGAGAACACTGACCTAGACGGTATTATGCTAAGTGAAGTAAGTCCGACAGAGAAAGAAAAATACTGTATAATCTCATTTATATGTGGAATCTAATAATGCAAAACAGCCCTAGCCAGTTTGGCTCAGTGGCTAGAGCATCAGCCTGCAGATGATGGGTCCTGGGTTTGATTCTGGTCAAGGGCACATATCTTGGTTGCAGGCTCCTCTCCAGCCTGGGCCCTGATAGGGGCATGAGCAGGAGGCAACCAATCGATGTTTTTCTCTCACATTGATATTTCTCTCTGTCTTCCTCTCTCTCTAAAAATCATTGGAAAAACATCCTTGGGTGAGGATTAAAAAAATAATAAATAAAAATACAAAACAAATAAACAAAACAGAAACAGACCCATAGGTATTGAGAATAAGCTGATGGTCACCATGGAGGAGGAGGTAGAGGAATAGGAATAAAAATAAATAAGTACATAAGTTCTAATTATAGAACACTTGGAATTCAGACTATTATAAAGGAGAATTTTTTAAATCATTTGTTAAAAAAAGAAATAAAATTGTCCCCATTCCCTTACCACTCCACGGCATCCTCCCGACCTTGTTTTTTATCGTGGCTTTTATCATCAGCTGATGTCCTAGAATCCAAGTTCCATGAGAGCAGCAACTGTCTGTATTGTTTTCTATCTCCAGTGCTTTTAAACAGTATTCGATAGATACTCAGTAAGTATTTGTTGAATAAATGAGCAAATAACAATTATAGGGTGGCTTACTCCATTCCAGGCATTGTGCTAAGAACTTAGTTTACATCTTATTTCATCTTTGTATCATTATTTAATTGCCATTTTACATATGAGAACACTAAGGCTATTTGCTGATGGGGAACATTAGGGAAGGAGCAGGTTTGGACGAGTAATTAAAAGTTCAGTTTTCAATATTGAGATACCTATCAGACGTCCACTACCTAGCAGACATACAACTGGAGATACCAAGTAGACTTTTACATACATGTATTTGGGATTCAGAGGAAATATTTAACCTAGAAACATACATTTAGAAGTTGCTATTTGAAAGTCCATGGGAAAGAGCTAGAGGCATTGTGAAGGGGGAAAGTACTGTTTGGATATGGAAGGAAAAGGAGGAGTCGAAGGTGAATCTGAGGCTGGAGCCTGGACCCTGGAAGGCAATGCATTATAGTCTGCGGTACTGGTTCAAAATCACCTGACTCGGCAGTCGGGCAGCTTCTCACTGTACTAGATGAGATGACTCTGGAGAATGTCTTTGTTTTGAGTCTCAGTTTCCTCATCTGTAAAAGATAAATAAATAATACCTACCTCATCGTACTTTTACTTCAGTAAAAGCACAATACAGTGCTTGACATATCTTAAGCACTCAATAAATTATTATTTATTATGGGATAATCATGATGCTATATGAAATGGGAAAGTTGAAAGAGAAACTGATTTTGGTGGTGAAATACAATGAATATGGTTCAGAACATGTATCATTTATTTATTCAATTCATATTCTACCAATTTCCTGAAAGGACCTTATATGGTGACTTTCAGACAAATGGGATTTAAGTGCTAATGGGACAGCCAAATGATGGTCACCCATAGGAAGTCTGAAAATGTAGAAGGTGAATTTTCGTAAAATACCAGGGATGGAGATCTAAGGTTCGGAATTATCAACGTGGAGAGCCAGCTCTCTCTATCTGTATGCCAATTAGCTGCTTAAGGAAGGGACCGTGCTCAGGAAGAGAAACGAAATGCAAGAGAAAAATTGGTCTAAAGGCAGGAGAGGAATCAAGAAATCAAGAAAGCATACAGTTGTGGGAGACCTGAGGACTGAGGAGGGAATTAGCACAAATGCAACATAGAATTTAAAGAAGTCTAACAATAGAAGAGCAGAGCAAATTTGTCTGGTTCTCACCGGTGGCCTTAGAAAGAGCAGTCCCAGTGAAATCATCGATGTTCAAGCCCGGCTTTGCATATCAAACATGTAATGGGAGTGTTGGTGTGGGAAGGAATTGAAGGTAAGAATGACTTTGCTTTTGCAAGTCATGGAGAGTGCAAGAATGCTAAGAATGAGTATTCCTATGTTCATTCTCCTTCCTTTAACCATGATTTCCTAGGCATCAGTTTCGTAACTAGATCCAGTGTTCCCATAAACACAAAATTTAGAGGACTTTTTCTTTTCTTTCATTTTGCATCAGATGTGACACTCAACTCTCTGGTGTCCGAAGCATTTGTCAGGTTTTTCGTGGAGCTGGTGGGACATTACTCTCTGAACATGACTGTCACTGAGCGTGGGGAGCGTGTATTCCAAAGGGAGCCATTCCGTAAATCTCACACCTCCCGCAGCGTTCGCCACTTCCTGGATCTCTTCATGGAAACTCAGATGTTTGCAGGATTCATCCAGGACCGAGAGCTTCGGAAAAGTGGGGTGAAAGGTCGGTTTCCTCATGAAGTTCTTCCTCCCTATTTAGTGAGCACTTGGAAGGTTCGAAAATAAACAAAAAATAGCATAAAGCTACAAGGGCTCAAAGTCTGAGTTGTTTATTATGGGAAATATTTTTTGTAACATTGTTTTAACTATGAAGATACATAGTAGTGAACACAGAGTTTTATTTAATGGATTTTCAATCTTGAGCGTTGGACAATTTCACCATGAGTTTTCCTTGTAGGTTTGTTTGAGGTCCGGGCCTTCCAGTATTTGGAAACAATTCCTGAGTCTGAACCCAGTGGGGTGAACAGAATTTTGCGGAGTCTCGGTGAGTTGCCGTATCTTCCTATTAGAAAAACGAGGCTGAGAAAAGCTTTTGCAATAAGCATGCCTCATTGCAAAAGCTTTACACTCAGATCAATGATATAACCCAAGTAGGCTGACCAGAAACCATGACCCCTAATTCCAAAGTGTTTTGGAGCAAAAGAAGTCTCTTTCTCAGAGGTTGGGATTCTCCGTCAGAGTTGTCCAGGGGACCGTTTTCCTCAGATGATGCTCCCTTAAGATGTAAGAATTTGCATGTCACGATTATTACTCTTTTCTAGGTCACATCCCTGGGGGAATCTTATAAAAACTGGACTTTTTCCCAAAAAAATATAGTTAGAACATACAACATTTTGCATATAACTTTAGGGTGTTCATGAACCCCCCTAAAGTCCATCATGGACTCCAGTTTAAAAACATCTGGCTTAGAGGACATCTGAAACAACAGAGGTTGTCCTGCAAGTCTCTAATTTTACACATCATAAAGAAACATGGGCCCGGCCGGCGTGCCTCAGTGGTTGCGTGTCGACCTATGAACCTGGAGGTCATGGTTCGATTCCCGGTCAGGGCACATGCCCAGGTTGTGGGCTCAATCCCTGTGTGGGACATGCAGGAGGCAGCCAATCAATGATTCTCTCTCATCATTGATGTTTCCATCTCTCTCCTCTCTCTTCCTCTCTGAAATCAAGAAAAAAATATTTTTTAAAAAGAAATAGGGTAGTTTATGATTGTTCAATTATAGTTACCTTTTAAGTTTTCAGTATGATATAGAAGAACAGTGGTGTGCTAGCCCAAAACAATGAAGAACCTACAATCTATGGTATTTACATTCATCTTTGAAATATATACCCCTAATTAAAATTAGGCCTTGTCCTTAACTAGCTGAGAGACCATGGACAAATTATGCCTTGGGCTGTTGTTTCATCTTTATATCATGGGGTTAGATTAGATCAGTGGTTCTCAGCTCTGACCACAATATTATAATCTCTGGGGAGCAGGCCAGTGATTTTAACCTACAGGCAGGGTTGAAAACCACTGGATTAGATGATGTCTGAGTTCTCTTCTGCCTCTACAATTAGGCCTGGGAGGAAGCGGTTAATCACATCAACTGTTAGCTTGATATAGCAGCTTACTCCAGAGCTGTTCTGAATAACTAGGTTACTAATCCCTTGCCTCAAATAATGTACAATAAAAAAAATGAACTAATGAGGGCTCACTCTACTTTTTTCTCCCTGTAGGAAGTAAAATGAAATTTCTGCAGAAGAAATGAAATCTCCCACTGACTTCTCATCCTAAATAGGACAGAAAGTGCCAAAGAAAGTATTTTTCCAAGAGTCAGGATGCCCTGAAGTATTCTACAAAATCCTTGAAAGCTGAAAAGGTTCCAGAGCGGGCCAGAGTCTTGGAGGAGGAGTCTCCTGTTGCTGCTTTGTAATCACTGGAGAACTGTCGGGAGTCATCTGGAACCAATGCTCTCTTCATTCTGCCTCTGGTTGTTTTTAAGTGGCCTTTTCTACTTGATTCTTGGGCTTATTCTTTGTGTTTTGTGCTTAGGCTGTAAAGGCACTTGTCTTTTATCAGGGAAAGACTTGGTGTTGCATTTTTTAAAAAGCAGCTCAAAGAGGAGCACAATGAGAGAAGTGCTGAGTTCAAGGTACTAGGGAGGCATGACAGAAGTGGCTAACACTAGCTCTCCAACATGTAATTCTCATCACTGAACTACATGGCAGCTTTAAACCTATGGGCTGTTTTCTGTCCAATGTTCCGTCTAGGGGAGTCTCACTTATTGGAAGCCCTATTGATTAGTACTGTTACTGAGTACCGTGTAAAAGTAGACATCTTGCAACTCTTCCCCCACACTGTGTGGCACTGGAGTAGCATGTCCCTCATGTGTCAACATGAAACTTTTTGGAATTACAACTAATAGGAAATGTCCTTCCAAGGGCATGAGAACTACGTTTTATTTTACTTTTTTAGTGTCTACCCCGTGCCATGCACTGTCATACATGTGTGTATGTCATCTTAGTCTTCAAATCGACTTTCTGAGATATTTGCATCTCCATCTTACTAGTGAAGAAACTGGAATTCAAAGGAGTTAAATAACTTGCCCAAAGTTATACAATAGAACCAGGACTGAAGCCAAAACTGTTCGTTGGTGAACACAGATAAAGCTGGTTGGTCCTGAGCTGGACATTTGAGCTCTATGGGATCGTAGCTATTGGAAAGTTCTCTTTTAAGCTGAAGTGTACCAGAGCCAACTCAGCTCTGAGGATAAGGGACTTCAAACTAGAGGTGTCTAGATGAGACTCTTTTCAGTTCTCCTAGGATTGTTGGAATTTTTGCTCTAATTGGAGTCATGAAGATGAACATTACCTGGGACGACACCACATAATCACCCTAACCTTTAAGGTCTAAAGCCACAGTTAGTGATTGGAAAGAGGAACTTGTCAGTGATGGTGCCGTTTTCTTTGGTGTTACAGCAAATGTCAGTTTTCTTCAACTCCTGATGATGGTTTTAACTGGCATAAAAATATTTATTCAAGCTTAACAAAACCTTACAAGGTATATGAGGACATAGTTTATTGACTTGTACAGTATTGTCAGTTCACCCATTCAGGTGTGCATGGATGAATTGAAGCAGACACCAGGTAACCGGTGCTACATAATTACTATAGATGTGGGTCCAGCAAGTAGAACTGAGCCCATGTCTTTTTAAAAATGTTTATTAAGCAGCTTACCCCAGTGGGGCTTTTACCAGATATCCCTCCATTTGGTCTCTTCTGACAATCCAACCCGAGGGAACAATCAGTAACTGGGAATTGTTTATAAAATGGGGGCAGTAGGTATTATTGTGGTGGATCCTGGCCATCCCTCTGTGAGACCTTTGCTTTGGGGATGAGGGTCATATTTTATCCCTGTAAGCTGGAGCTGCTTCCTTTTCTTAGGTCTGTTTTATTTTGTTTTTTGTAAAGTTTTATGAATTCTGGACATGTTTGTAAAAGAATTGTTCAAGATGTGTATAAAATGTTGTTTACAGTTCTTCTAATGAATAAATACAAAAATCCCATGGGTCTCTTGGAGAATTTTAAGTAAAATTGCTTAAAATGTAAATATCTTTTATTTCACTAAATCTATAGCTAGCACATTTATCTAACAGGTTAAAAGGTAATCCGGTGTCACTTTTTCAGATATGATTCTATATATAGAAAACCCTAAAGACTACACCAAAAAACTATTAGAAACAAACGAATGAAGTTGCAGGATATAAAAATCAATATACTAAAATCCACTGCATAAACGACCGTCTGAATTGACCCAAGACTAACCAGGCTTAATTACCGTGGCCAATATTTTCAGGCACTTGGCAGACAAAAAGCTTGGATTTAGACTGCACACAGGGCAGGATATATTCTATTACCGGGTGTCCTAACAACAAAATGATTGGATTTTACAAACGCCCTGAAGGCAAAATGACAGGATTTTTAAAAGTTGGGGTTGGTGAGCAGTTACCAATCTCGCCTGGTGTAGATCGGATTACTTTTGGTAGGCAGACCATTAAAGCTGGGGACTGCGCCCACTTCTAGAATCTGTGAAAACATTGCCCTTACCCAAAGCGCAGCATCTTAGGGCGCCGAGCACGAAGGGTGGGAGGACAGCATGGAGTGCAAGGGGAGAGGAACCTAAGGGAAGGTGGAAGGTTAGAGGAGTAAGCCGAGGGGGAAACCGGTTTCTCTCCCCACGCCAAATCCTGCAGCCAGTCCCACACAGAAGTGTTAGGATCCCCTCTCAGAGCGCGTCCTCGAGGAGAGCAACGGTCTCACTCCTCCACAAGGTGCTGCCAGACGGAAGCATAAAAGTGGTGCAGGCCGGGACGGGAAATTGACACGGTCCACCGAATGGGCAACGACGTGACGTCACATCCGGCCAAAACAAAACAACAGGGCGGAGCGCGCCTTCGGAATTAACAACTGAGCATGCGCACGTGACGTAAATTGTGGGCGGCGGGCGCAGGCGTATTGAAACAGGCTTGAGCCTGCGCAGTTTCAGAAAACGCAGGTGAACCTCAGGATGGCGGGCACGGGCCTGGTGGCTGGAGAGGCTGTGGTGGATGCGCTGCCGTATTTTGACCAAGGTTATGAAGCGCCCGGAGTGCGGGAAGCGGTGAGTTTGGGTGTCTCCGCAGGAGACTCGCGCTCGCTGGCCCTTGGAGCTGGAAGCAGCCGCGTACAATTTGCTGCCCCGACACTGGCCCCCTTTCTCGTTCTCAGGCTGCGGCACTGGTGGAGGAGGAAACTCGCAGATACCGACCTACTAAGAACTACCTGAGCTACCTGACAGCCCCGGATTATTCTGCTTTTGAGGTAAGTGTGATGTCTTGAGCCCGGCATAGGAATCAGGATTCCCGCGAATCTTTAGTTTGGGTTGAGAGCCTTACCACGTTAAAGTGAATTCTAAATTCCGGCTTTTAAGTATTGCTTGCTTGACTTGCATAGATATTACCAGGCCATTGAAAACAGCTAGATAGGCCCTAGCCGGGTTGGCTCAATGGATAGAGCGTTGGCCTGCGGACCAAGGGTCCCGGGTTGGATTCCGGTCAAGGGCACGTACCTCGGTTGCAGGCCCGGGCCCTGGGGGGGCAACCAACCGATGTGTTTCTCTCACATCGATGTTTCTCTCTGTCTTTTCCTCACTTCCACTCTTCCTGAAAAATCAATGGAAAACTATCCTCAGGTGAGGATTTTAAAAAACAATTTTTATAAAAACAGCTAGATAAGCCTTCTGCTCTGGGGTTGTTATTCTGAGACCCACAGACTTTCTGAAGCTCCGAAAATTACCTAACAATCCAAAACTTAGTGTGTACGTGTTTCTGAGCTAGATTCCTTGTGTTACTTCTCAGCGGGTCCTCTGCGCTCTGAGGTCCACTCTAAGTGATGTAGGGTTTTAAGTATAGATCAGCCGAACGCCCTAAGCGCCTGAGAACCCCTGGATGGTAGTAATCTCTGTATAAAGCCTAGGTGTTTACAGAACGTGAATGAGGGGACCAACCATATCTGCCTAATATACCAGTTACATGTTTTGTCTGTACACCCAAGATATTTAGGGTCTAATGAGCGAAATTAAATGTAAAATATTATTTTTAAGTTAATGGATTCTGTTAAGCATTTTAATACTGTTGGGGTCCAGCCCCAACAGGTCCAGGGGTTCCCCAAGGTGTGGACAGAGTCAGCGAAGAAGGAATGACAGGGAGGCAGCTTTCAGGTGATCATCATGGCGAGGTTCCTCTTAGCCCGGTTCCTCTCTTTATTGTCCTCTTACATTTGTATTTATCCTATTTGATCTTAATCCTAGTAAAGATTATGTAGCTTAAGCATGATTGTTCGTAGTTAAAGTGATTAGCTACCCCTCTGGCACTTAGTTAAAGGGTTTACTGATAAAAATCCTCACCTGGGGAAACAACCTTTCTTGGAGAGGTGACGTTGGTTAAAACACATAGCGCTTAAGAAGGGGAGCAAACATATTAAGAACAGTATGCCATATATGCGAGGTCCCTTGAAACATCCCTGCAGCGACTGCGTCAAGCAGCCAGGGTGGATCGGCTTCCAGCATAATACATACATGTTTGGGGGTTTTTCCCGTTATGGGTAGCCATTTATTTATGAAAGATTCTGTCATTAAAATGCAGTATTTATATTGAAGTAACATGAAAAAAATATTTACTGTTTTAAGTAGGAGAGAGATTTTCTCATGATACGCTATTTTCCCATGCTTTTTCTAAATATTGTTATCCAAATATAGATATTACCACAAGAATTAAGTACAGTAATGCTTTCTTAGTAGATTGATTTTTGAAAGTTTCACAGCTTGCATTCAATTACAAACTCATAAATACTCGAACTAGTTTTTTTAGCTCTCTAAAATACAACATATGCTTCCTATCTTTATAATTAGTATTCTGATTATTTAATCCTTTTTAATAATAGGAGCTGGTAGTGTACTGGGCTCACTCTCTGTCCTAAAAATAGCCTATGAACTATATGTTTTACTATCCCAAATTTTTTAGATGGGAAAACTGCAGCTTAGAGAGACTAATGTGCTCAAGACCTTAACCACTCCTCAAACTGGCTTTGAAACTGCCCTTTGTTAATTAATTTAACAACTATTCATGAAGGTCTTTTCTGTGCCAAGTAAAGGGCACAGGATAGGTAAGGTCCATACTCATGGAGGTTACATTCTAGAGTGTGAGGACAAATAAGTCAGAAAATATTAGATTATTGATAAAGCTATACAAAGAATTAAAGTAGTTATGTCTTCTTCACGACCATATCTTTATCACTTAGAAGCCTGCCTGGTACACAATAGGCACCTAAATATTTAAAGAGCTTCTAAGGCAGTTTTATTCAGTGAATGCTTACTGGTGCCAGACATGCCTAGTGTTTTTTCATAAATTAGCTCCAGGAGAGTTGGCTCAGTCTTTGCAGCGAGTTGAGTTCAAACTCCAGATCTCTCACTTAACGGGCCATGTGAGTTAGTAAGAGTTCCTACATTAATGGCTCAAGATTGCTTGCTTCATTTTTATAGCTTCTCTTTTATCTAATTGTTGGTTGTTATTCTTGTCTGTCACTGTATATTCTCTAGCTAGAATACCCTGGTTTTCTGCAGGAAACTAGATAACTATATTTAGAGCTTTGTGTAACAGCAGTAGTCAAAAAAAAAGGTTTTCTCCAATAAGAAATGCTTAATGCAAAACTTGTAAACCAGGAATGTAGGCTTCTGAAAGCCTTTTTTTTTTTTTTTACCCCCCCTTAGGCCTAATTGTTGAGAAAGTTGCAACCTTCAAAAATGAAATTACATGGGGATATCTAAATATTTCACTTATGCAGTTCTTTATATTCAGGGCTGGAAATATGCAGAACAAATGGAATAGGATATTGATCAAAACATTGGGCCCAAAGAAACAGAGTTATACCACAATTTTTGGGAAAATTGTTAGACCAGATAGTAGAAACCAGTTTGTTTTTTGTGGGTTTTTTTGTGTTGTTTAGATTTTTTTGCCTATTTCCCCCTTCATTCTTGGTAAAGAGTAAAGTGTAAAAATAGCAGCCAGGACCAAAAAAGAAAGTATAGCCTTAGGTTCATAGCCTTACAGCAAATCATTTTATGCCCAAGCCCTCTATTCCTCACCCCCAATGAATACTTAGATCCATGATTCTCGACACTGGCTTTAGTTTACAATTGACTGGTGAATTAAAAACAAAAATTATAATTTTGTCCAGTCTCCACTTCAGGACAATTAAATGGACTGGGGCAGTGGCCGGCAAACTGCGGATCGCGAGACCAATGCGGCTCTTTGGCCCCTTGAGTGTGGCTCTTCCACAAAATACCAACTTCTGCGCATGGGCCACGAAGTTTCAATCGCACTGTTCGTGCTCGCCCGCACTCAAGGGACCAGAGAACCGCATGTGGCTCGCGAGCCACAGTTTGCCGACCACTGGACTGGGGGAACAGGGTGGGGTGTGGCTAAGATTGGAATTGTTTTCAAAACTCCCAGCTGATTCTAGTCTACTACTGGGATTGAGAACCACTTACTAGGATAATCAGTCCTGTTCGCCCAGACCCTTTACATACGAAGTGTGTGCCTGTTCTCCAGACCCTAGAGAGCATTTAACCCTGAGAAGACTTGTGAGAAGGGTGATGATCCCTTATCATGGGTCATATAAAGTATAAGCATTTTAGGAGGTTAGATTCATTATTTGTTTGGTGGTTGTTAATTTTAACTTGTTGATATGATTTTGGAAACAATTCTTTCTCTAATTTCCACATCAGACAGACATAATGAGAAACGAATTTGAAAGACTGGCTGCTCGACAACCAATTGAATTGCTCAGTATGAAACGGTAAGTCCTATTTCTGGAGTCAGCTGGGCTCAAATCATTCTTTAATCTTAATTTTTTTGTAAAACTACTACAGCCATGTTAAAACAAATATTGGAAGGGGAAAATCCTTGTCTGCTTATGTGTTTGTTTTTTCATATAGTAGTAGTTCATATAATCCTGTGTTAATGTTCGAAGATGTTCCTTTTTTTTATCCTCACCCGAGGATATGTTTTTATTGATTTGAGAGAGAGAAAGAAACATTGATCAGTTGCTTCCCGTATGCACCCCAACCAGGGATGGAACCCACAATCCGGGTATGTGCCCTGACCACCTTCTGGTGTATGGGAAGATGCTCCAACCAACTTGTAATGACCCATAAGCAGTAGGTTGTGAAGTAAATGTAGTGAGGCACCACAGGAAGTAGGATAGAAAATGTCAGAATGCATTGTATCTACAGGTAAGTATTGCTTTGTGTAGTGGGTCACAGTGTAAAATATTTCTTACTCTAGGTCAGTGATGGCGAACCTATGACACACGTGTCAGAGGTGACACGCAGACTCATATTTTTGGTTGATTTTTCTTTGTTAAATGGCGTTTAAATATATAAATAAATATCAAAAATATACATCTTTGTTTTACTATGGTTGCAAATATCAAAAAATTTCTATATGTGACACGGCACCAGAGTTAAGTTAGGGTTTTTCAAAATGCTGACACGCCGAGCTCAAAAGGTTTGCCATCACTGCTCTAGGTTGTAGTCAGAGGTTTGAAAAATGCTACATTTATAAAATGTGGTTTATTTTTTCCTTTTTTCCCCCTAAGGTGTTTGTTTTTATTTTTTAAAACAAAATGGTTTATTACCTCTTGATCCCAGTTGCATTTCCCTCAGCTTTTTAAGAATAATTACAGTTTTTACACAGTATCTAGTAATAATATTAAAATGGAAATGAAAACTTCGTTTGTAGTAACTCATTAGTAGTAAACAGATTTATGAAGAGTATTTGCTGGCTCTATTGGCAGTGTTAAAAGACTGGGCAGTGTGAAGAGAACAGAGTGAGGCCCAATATTTTTCTCTAGAGGGGTGTGGGTATGTGGGTGGGAAGGTGGATACATCATAGGTGTGTTTTACAAAAATGATAGCATGGTTTTTTTGTGTCCTACTTTTTCCCCTTACTACATTACAAACATCTTAATGTTTTAAGTGTTCGTCAGTAACATCATTTAATATCTAATATAGCAGTCCTTTATATGAGTGTACCATAGATTAGTGAATCTTTTCACATTGATGGGAACAATTTTTTGTAGCTGTATGTAATATTGCTAACTCCTCTTTGTAAATTGATTGCTTGTTAGGGTAAATAGGTTTTTTGTTATTGTAAAGTCTGCATCTTATCTTCAGTCTTCTGTAGTTTTTATAGTGTGCTTAGGCCCATGAGGCATTCTGTTGGGAAGAGAAAAGGTTTGGGGGACTGTGTAGTTATATTGTTGTTTAATTTCAGATATGAACTTCCAGCCCCTTCCTCGGGTCAGAAAAATGACATAACTGCATGGCAAGAATGTGTAAACAATTCTATGGCCCAGTTAGAGCATCAAGCCGTTCGAATTGAGAATCTAGAACTAATGTCACAGCATGGATGCAATGCCTGGAAAGTATATAATGAGTAAGAAATTGCTTGTTGTTTTTTAAAAAACCCATTCCACCCACAGCTTTGGTTTTTTGTGTGTGTGTGTTTGTTTTTAATGTAGGAAGTAGGATAGAGGAACTGGGATAAAAATAGTAGAGCTGAGCCCTAGTCAGTTGCTCAGTGGTTAGAGCGACAGCCTTGGGACTGAACGGTTGTGGATTTGATTCTATCAAGGGCAAGTACCTCGATTGCAGACTCGATCCCTGGTCCTGGTCAGGGCGCATGAAGGAGGCAACCAATCAATGTGTCTCTTTCACATCCATCTGAGACCCACCTCAGAGTTTGTGTACATAAACCTAACTATCAAAAAAACAACCAAACATAATCCTAACTATCACGTTTATTGTATAATATAATAAAATGAGTTCTGAGGTCTGATTTACAAATCACAACTTAGTAGAATGTAATTCTTAACAGGAATTACTTATATAGTTGATTCTTATTGGTTTCATGTTATGTTCTATAAAAGTGGTCTTAAATACTGAATAAGCAAATAGTGTAACATTTCTCCTGGGGAAAATACATACACATGTACATATAAATAAGTCATCCTGGCAGGTTCTATTTTCTTTTTAAAAGAGAAAACAAAGTTCAGAAGTATTGAGTAACTTGTCAGAGTTGGACATTAGGCTCCATCCTTCAGTCATCTCTGTATGAGACCTGACACAGGCAGGCAGAGCGTCGTCTTACTCCACTTCAGCTGGGAACACGTGCGTCCACTGCTCAGATTTTTCACTGCTCTGAGAATGTCTGCCGAATGATCCAGAACATTGCAAGTATTGATTTTGAGGTTACAAATGAATCTGATTGGGTAGGAAAATTCATTAATACAGAATCTGCAAAAACTAGAATTGACTGAATAGAGAACACCAGAAACAAAGTGCCCACAACCTGGGCATGATCAGAATAGAACCTGAGATCCTTCAGTCTGCAGGCCAACGCCCTATGCACTGAGTCAAACCAGCTAAGGCAATATTAACTATTTTTAGGCAGAAAAATATGACCCTGTGTCAGCTAGATCACTTTTAATTGGTTCTATTAGATTTTAATGTATTTTAATCTGATTTTTCTCATTTTCTTCCTTAGAAATCTAGTTCATATGATTGAACATGCACAGAAAGAGCTCCAGAAGTTAAGGTAAAATGTTTCCTCATTTCAGAATAAAGTTTAGCTGAACCCCTAATTAATAGAGTGAGAAGAAAAAGGAACCAATGGATTACAGTCCTATGAGAGTAAGCTATTGATGATCTGCTCTTTGTCCGGCATCCAGTGTTGGGTGTGCCCCACCTGAGTGGAGGAGAAAGAGCCCTGAGGTCTGAAAACATCTCTACCAGGTCACTTTGAATTTACAAGTCTGCAGACATTGAAAAGGATCTTTTAGAAGGGGGAAAGTTGCAGAATAACCTGCATAGTCTGATTTATGTAAAAAAAAAACACCCACAAACAAATTAATCTCTACATATATAGGAAAGAGTCCAAAGGACATCTACCAAAAACTAACCAGCAGTTCTCGGGGAGGAGGAGAAGCACATGGGAGGAGGGCTTTCCGTTTCTAGCCTGCATAAGTGTGTATGCTTAGTTTTTTCACAATAGGCGTGTTTTATGAAATTGAATTGAAAAATAATTAGAGGAAAGTTAATTTCTGGAATGAGTATGATTTCTTGTATCTGCTCTCAAGGAATTAAAGATATATGACATTGACTATAGATTTTTTCTGTTGACTCTAGTCAACAGAAAATGTTAAAATGTAGGTGGGTTTTATAAATAATTTTTTTACAGGAAACATATTCAAGATTTAAACTGGCAGCGAAAGAACATGCAACTCACAGCTGGATCTAAATTAAGAGAAATGGAGTCAAAGTGAGTACCTCCAAATCCATCATGTATGAAATTGCTTAGCAAATTTAAGATCAAGATTCAATAGTCTGATTCAAACAGTATTCCAATGGGATGGATGTCACAGGTGTCAAAGCAATGCTGTCTTCTGAATACTGCCTTGCCTCCTGAAGCATGGGCTTAGAAGACAATGGAAGAGTTAAACCAAAACCTGAACCGCTGCTAATTGATTCTGTTCTTAGAGTGCCCTGTTTTCAGTGCAGTGTTTCTTCTCTGAATGTTTTTAAAGGGGAAAAAAATTACCTATTTTTTAGCTTTCAGAATGGAGTTTTAGTACTTTCTTGATAATTGGTGTCTTAGTCCTTTTTACCCTTTGTTTATATATTTTCTTTTTTGAATGTTCTTTATATACACAAATAAGTTTATACAAATTCCTAAATATAATTGTGAATTTTTGTATTATTTTCTCTTTTTTTCTCTGCTGTTTTTCTACCTTCCCTCCCTCTGTCACATACATTACTCTCCTTGTTTCACCTTCCCCTCCACCTTCATGTACTCCATGTTATCTATTAGGCAACTTTTCATATTTTTTCCAAGCTAATATAACCTAAACATACATGTGTGTTTCTTTTTATTTGTCTTTAGAGATTTTTTTTTCTAAGGAAAGACTCCTTGAATCGCTGGAACTCTTTCTTATCAACTCTAGAAATTTCTCCACTGTGTTAAACTAATGACTCTGCCCTATTTCTCTCTCCTTTTCAGTTAATCACTTAAAATACTATCTTTCCTCACTCTTTCTTATCTTTTCAGTTCTTTTGAAATAATTATAAATTCAGATGCAGTTGTAAGAAATAATGCAGCCCGACCAATGTTGTTCAGTGGTTGAGCATCAACCTGTGAGCCTGGAGGTCACAGTTCAATTCCTGGTCAGGGCACATGCCCGGATTGTGGGCTCAGTCCCCAGTGCGGGGTGTGCGGGAGGCAGCTGATCAATGATTCTCTCTCATCATTGATGTTTCTATCTCTCCCCCTTTCCCTTCCTCTCTGAAATCAATAAAAACGTTAAAAAGAAAAGTTAAAAGTGAAGATTAATGTTACGGCCCTGACTGAAAATGTATATCTGATAAAATCTTCTAAAAGAAATTTTACAATGAATAATTTTTCCTTTATTTTTCTATTCTAGTTGGGTATCCTTGGTCAGTAAGAATTATGAGATTGAAAGGACTATTGTACAATTAGAAAATGAAGTCTTTCAAATGAAGCAGCAACTTGGAGAGGCCAACAAAGAAAACATCCGACAAGACTTCTGAAGAGATTAATTCTGTGGGTCGGAAGGAAGGCAGGTTGGGTTTTCACAGAAGATCGGGCACTGCTCTGTGAAGGTCAGCAGCATCTTACGGAAATCATCAGTTGTGCTTAGAAACCATAGAAAGTGGACTGTGATCTTCTGTTTGTACATTAGCAAAATAAAAAGTTTCAGCTTGGTATTTTTTTACCATAAAAAAAATCTTCAGACTTTCTAAATAAGTATGACTTTAGAATATGTCATAGAATTAATTTTGAGCCACTTGGACCATATTTTGTATCCAAGAGATCTTTAATGGAAGTTTTCAACATGTACAAGAAGTTGGAAACTTTTGGTTTATATATTTTTCAAATAAAGAGATAGCTCTATACAAATTCTTGATTCAAACAAGACAAGAAACACAGTGGTGCCCTGGCCGATGTGGCTCGGGTGGCTGTGCATTGTCCTGTGCACCAAAGGGTCCCCGGTTCCATTCCCAGTCAGGGCACGTGACTAGGTTGCAGCTTCGGTCCCAGGTCGGGATACATATAGGAGGCAGCCCATTGATGTTTTGGTCTGTCTCCCTCTCCTTCCTTTTCTCAAATCAATAAAAACATTTAAAGAAAAGAAAGAAATACAGTGGCTCCATGTATGTCATCTGTTTTCCTTACCATAGGTAACAGTTACATAAAGCTGAATATGTACTGAACATTGTTCTAAGTGCTTTAGGCAGATGAACTAAACTTACACGAATAAAATAATTATTTGATCCTCAAAAACAGACAGTAGGTACTATTGTTCCCACACACAGACTTGTAACAGGTGCTGATGTAACTTGCCAAAGTTTTATAGCCAGAAAGTGCCATCCAGGTTTTGAACCCCAGTCTAGCACCAGAGTTGTATTCTTACCCACTCTACTAAGAGTCCTGCCCAATTCAGAAAAATACTTGCAACATATCAAAGGATAAGTAGTCTTCATGTATAAAGACCTTCACAAGTCAGTGCTACTTATTTTTCTTTAATTTTAACATTTTTTTAAAGACAGTTTGAGCATCAGATGTAATCTTTTGATTTTTTAAAAAAATTTTTCATTGATTTCAGAGAAAGGGGGGAGAGAGAAATATCAATGGTAAGAGAATCATTGATCGGCTGCCTTCTGCACGCCCCGTACTGGGGATTGAGCCTGCAACCCATGCATGTGCCCTTCACCAGAATCAAACCTGGGACCCTTCAGTCTGCAGGCCGGCGCTCTATCCGCTGAGCCAAACCAGCTAGGGCAGTGGTCGGCAAACTCATTAGTCAACAGAGCCAAATATCAACAGTACAACAATTGAAATTTCTTCTGAGAGCCAAATTTTTTAAACTTAAACTATATAGGTAGGTACATTGTTAATTAATTTAATTAGGGTACTCCTAAGGCTTAGGAAGAGCCACACTCAAGGGGCCAAAGAGCCCCATGTGGCTCACGAGCCGCAGTTTGCTGACCATGGAGCTAGGGCATCTTTTGATTCTGTTAAAAAATTTTAATGCCCATGGAGTGTTCATTCTACCATTGCCTAATCCAATTTGCTGCACCTTCTACTCAGCCCAAAGAAATTGTATATTCTTCCCTTCCTTGACTGAAAGACCAGATTTCAGGTCATCTTTGCTCCTGCCTGATTCTGCGTGATACTCAGAGTCCTTTGTTGTACTGTTTGCTAGTAAGTCCCAGTCTCCTGTAGTGACCACCTTAGAAAGCTTGCATATTTCCTTGGCCTGGGTGAGTTTGGTGAGCTGGGTGTAGGGTGTACTACTCCATAGAAAGCAGTAGTTCTAGTAAACAACAAATGACTAAGACTGATAATTCTTTGCATTTTTAAAAAATTAATCTTGCTCATAAAATTTGGTCCTACTAAGAATCCTCTCTTGTTCATAACTACGTAGAGTTTGAGGATGACCCCAACAAAGCTAAGGGAAAACGAAAATCTGTATGATACTGGATGAACTATAGCAAGTTAACCAGCCCTACCACTGCCAATAAGTTGCCCATTTTGCAAGTCACTTTGAGTTAAATTTTCTCACTTGCAACATAAGCTATCCTTACTTTAGGCCCTCAAGACAAAATACCCAGATTGCTTTTTTCTGAAGAGATTTAACATAGGCAACAAACACTTAATATTTATAATGTTTACCTCACACTAGACAATTTGGTTTGGGGTCTCCTCATCCTACAAGGAAAGTATTGGGCAGGGATAAGAGTAAAATAGTCCATCATAATCTGTCAACTTAGAAACAGCTTTCTAACCATATGAAAAAAGTTTCAGTTACATCAAGTTCACTGGCATGTTTGTAATTTGTCTTAAATATTTTAGTCATATTACCACTTGTAGTTTTTTAAAATTTATTTTCAGTTTTTATACAACAACCCCTTTCTACCATAACACACAGCTAATCTATGTTTTAGCTCCTCACTCTTAAAAATGAACAGGAAAGCCCTGGCTGGTTTGGCTCAGTGGATAGAGCGTCGGCCTGTGGACTGAAGGGTCCTAGGTTCTATTCCAGTGAAGGGCACGTGCCCGGGTTGCGCCCTTGATCCCCAATAGTGTGTGTGCAGGAGGCAGCCAATCAGTGACTCTCATCATTGATGTTTCTCTCTCCCTCTCTGAAATCAATAAAAATAGAGTTTTAAAAAATACATGAACAGGCAATCGAGTGAGGATTACCAGACAGGTAGCTGAGACATCTTGATCATGGAAAGCAAGGAACGAAACAAATGGGAAACCGTGGAGAAAGCAGATAGTGCAAGAAGCAAATCTTTTTTGTTTTTTAAGAAATACATCCTCACCTTGGCCGGTGTGGCTTGGTTGGTTGGAGCATCATCCCGTACACCAGAAGGTTGTGGGTTCGGTTCCGGGTCAGGGCACGTGCAGGAGGCAGTCAATCGATGTTTCTCTCTCTAAAATCAATTTTTAAAAAACATTTAAAAGATTTTAAAAAGACCCCAAAGTTTCTTACCCCCTTCTTCTAGGTGAGGACAGAATGAGAAGACTGCTGTCCAGTTGACTGGATTTGAGTGATAATTCCCCAAAATAAGGTGAGGATGGTGAGCCCCCAGCAGAAGGAGGGAAATTATGCAGATAAAAGTAACATCTATTACACGTCAGATACTCTCTAGGTTAAGAGATAACCCTTTGGTGGTGGCTGGCCCAGTATGATAAGCAGTTCACCCACCTACTCTCCATGATGTTTTTCTTTGTAAAGTGTAATAGACATGTTACATTTATTCTGTTGTAATTTTAGTAGTGGAAAATTGGGATGTTTTTACTAGTGTATTACATACTTGGGCTGGGAAACAGCCATCAAACTCAACAGCTGTAGTGTTTTGTTGAGAGATCAGGGATAAGTAATTCGTTATTAACAGTAGGTCAAGATTTGAAGTTTTTAATAACTGTCTTTTTAAATATATTATACACATTCAAGATTATCCCTTTAATGACTATCTCACTTGGTTGGAATCTTAGGTTTTTTGAGAGGGAATGGGATAAACCCAGAGCGTACTGTCTCATTGACTTACGGTAGCAGAGACTACTTTGTGTCCCTCTGTTATCCCCTTGTATAACTATAGAAGTTGTAGCTGGGCACTTGGCAGCTCAGCTAAAAACTAATGTCCCAATTTCCCATCCAATCACACACCATGTACTAGGTTGTGTCCAGTGAGATAGGAACTGAAGTGATGTATGCAAGTTGCAAGTCATGCCCTTAATTTCCACATTTTACCAACCAGGACTCTTACCCTTGGATTTTGATGATTTATCTAGCAGCACACCATAAATTACTGTCAAGCTAACAGAAGATAAGGTGGCACACAAAAAGGATACTGTGCTGATAATGATGTGAACAACGTGCTTAGCATTTGTTTTACTTAAATGATGAAACAGTCTTGTCTATTCACAGTAGCAGAAAATTTACATTTTAATATCTGGATCCAACAGAGCAAATTTATTTAAAAACACAGCAATTTATACTCATTAAAGAGATTTTACTGTACAGTAAAAACCATTAATACCAACTGCAATGTTTTGCGTTACCTTAAGTTAAACTTTTTTTCTCAAAACTGATTTTGCACCATCATAAAAAATTAATTACAAGAGAATGTCAAACCAATAGAAGAGAATGGAAAAAAATAATTTATATACAATTTGCTACAGATAGAAATGCTTCTAAAATGGATATCAACATTTTGTGATAACCAAATTTTGTTCATGTGAATACATAATCCCACTCTGCAGAACCTAGAAATGAAATGGGAGGTACCCCAAATGCCCCATTATATTTCACCAAGTGAAAAGTGCCTTAAATACAATAAGAGAAGGAGGGGTGATAGTAACACTAATAACTAAAATTATATAGGTTTCAAGCATACAATTCTATAACACATCAACTGTATATCACATTGTGGAAAATAACTTTCTTAAATTGAATTCTGTTAATGACCTTTTATGTTCGGCTTTTGCTTATAATTATAATTAAATCTTAGCCACTCAATAAATTGACCCTAAGAACACCTACTTAGTCACACTTAAGTATTTTTTGCCTTGTCTTACGTCTTCTACTTTTCATACTAAGTTTGAAGGTCTTCCCTTCAATCCACATTGTTATGCTCTCCTACTTGTTTAAATAATTTTTTCTCCTTTATTGTTTAGATAGATAGATGGGTAGAGAGTGAGAAAGACAGAAATCTGCTGTTCCATCCACTCATGCACCCACTGGTTGATTCCTGTATGTGCCCTGACTAGGGAACGAACCTCAACCCTGGCACATCAGGACAACACTGCAACCAACTGAGCCCTGGACCAGGGCGCTCCTACTTTTAAGAGAACTGCTTGTTTCTTGTAGTACGCTTGTTTGACCATAGGGGGCACAAGGTCACTGTCAAAAGTTGAATAAATTACTCATACCTCTCTCCTATCCTTTCCATGACTTCGGAAAACAGAGTTAATTAATTTACTCTGGTGTTTCACACATTGAAGGATCTTGCTGTGTGTGGTTTTTTTTTTCAGAGTTTAAATTTAATAGACTTAATTTTCATTGTTAAAAATGTAAAGGGCGCCCTAACCAGTTTGGCTCGGTGGATAGAGCTTCGGCCTGCAGACTGAAGGGTCCCGGGTTCGATTCCAGTCGGGGGCATGTGCCTTGGTTGCGGGCACATCCCCAGGGAGGTGTGCGGGAGGCGGCTGATCGATGTTTCTCTCTCATCGATGTTTCTAACTCTCTATCCCTCTCCCTTCCTCTCTGTGAAAAATCAATAAAATATATTTTTTTAAAAAAATGTAAAGGGCGCCCAACTCACCAGAAGTGTATAAGATTATCAACTTGTTCTGCTAAACTGTCAAATTCACACTTTGGAGATCTGCAAAGAAGCAGAGTTCTGCTTTATAGAGAACTGTGATTACCTTGCCACCTAATTTTCTTAATAAAATTTCAATTCTTTCATTTCAATTTCTAACAAAAAGTAAACAATAGTGGATATTCATGTGCTCCAATTATTATAGTTCTTTTGCATTATTTTGTTCTATTAAAAAAATGTATATATGGGCCGAAACCGGTTTGGCTCAGTGGATAGAGCGTTGGCCTGCGGACTGAAGGGTCCCAGGTTCGATTCCGGTCAAGGGCATGTACCTGGGTTGCGGGCACATCCCCAGTAGGAGATGTGCAGGAGGCAGCTGATCGATGTTTCTCTCTCATCGATGTTTCTAACTCTCTATCTCTCTCCCTTCCTCTCTGTAAAAAAAATCAATAAAAAAAATATATTTTAAAAAAATGTATATATGAAGCATGGTAACAACCATGCTTGGGTAAAAATTGCTTTTTAATATTTTAACCCTGCTGATTTGGCTTCTGTAATTATTTGCTTGCTAAAATAATAGAAAAGTTATTTTAATTTTCTGAACTCATATAAGTTATCCCATTCGGTTGAATACTCCATTGATTGTGGTTTGAATACCCCCATTGATTGTGATCTTACTGGTATTTGGAAACACATTCCTCTGCACCTGGAGACCAGGACAGCACAATTACTTTAAATTGCCTCAGTGGCTCCAGATAATGTGTTTCTGTTGACTCAGTGGTCCCAAGACCTGACCAGGACAGCACAATTACTCTAAATTGCCTCAGTGGCTCCAGATAATGTGTTTCCATGGACTCAGTGGTCCCAAGACCCGAAACTATAATTAATCTTTGTAGATAACTAACTTGCTCAAATCTAAGCTTCTGTAACAAACTGCTTTTTGCAAACCAGGCTCCTCATTCCAAACCTCAAGATGTAATCAATACCTTTGTGATATTTGCCTATATAAGTCTGATGTTTCGGCCAAGGGGGCACTACAAGATTTGGAGAGCATTTGGCCCCTCATAGTCCCGGCTTTGAAATTAATGTGGCTCCTTAATTCGACTTCTTGAGGCGTCCTTGTGTGATTCGTGGGGTACAATACAACATACACAGCTGGCTCAGTGGTTGAGCATTGACCTACGAACCAGGAGGTCACGGTTTGATTCCCAATCAGGGCACATGCCAGGGCGTGCAGGAGGCAGCCAATCAATGATTCTTTCTCATCATTGATGTTTCCATCTCTCTCTTCCTCTCCTTTCCTCTCTGAAATCAATAAAATATTTTTTTTAAATATTTTAAAAGTGCATATACCTGCCCTAACTGGTTTGGCTCACTGGATTAGAGTGTCGGCCTGCAGACTGAAGGGTCCCAAGTTCGATTCCGGTCAAGAGCATGTACCTTGGTTGCGGGCACATCCCCAGTAAGGGGTGTGCAGGAGGCAGCTGATTGATGTTTCTCATCGATGTTTCTAACTCTCTATCCCTCTCCCTTACTCTTTGTAAAAAATCAATAAAATATATTTTTAAAATGCATATACCTGAAACTAAAATAAAATAATATTGAATGTAAACTGTAATTGAAAAATAACATTTTAAAAATGCAGTTGCCATTCCAATAGCACAGGAAAAACAGATTAGAAACCATAATAACATAAAACAGTGAAAATGGTAGCACAACCAGATAAAATTTTATCATTAGTAATAATAGAAATTTCCAGTCTTCTTCCAAATTCACTGAATTAATCAATTATAAAAAGGGATTTTGAAGAGGAACCAGATAGCTTAAGACATTAGAGCTTTCTTGTGGAGTAAGAAAGTATAATAAAATAAGCACATCTTGTTATGTTAATACCAACTAATCAATTGTAATTGGTATAATTGCTACTTTGCTCTTTTCTCCTAGTATTCATTATTGCTGAATACATAATCACAGTACAGGATATAATTTATTCTTTGGCAATATGTCAATTACACAGCCAGCTTTCAATACGTTTCCCTTTACAGAATCTGTATATATTATAAAGAGTGCAATGTAAGCCCATCTACCTCAGGGTTAAAAACTTGGTCACTTCAGCGAGCACTGGACATGTTTCTAAACTACATCTATTACTGTTGTTGAGGAAAAGGCATTTTGAGAAACAAAACCTCTTAAGGACAAGAGTGACATAGGCCATCAGCAACAGATGGCCAATGTCTCCAGTCCCTTTTCCACACCACGTTCTCCCCTCAAAGCTGCCAGCCTGATCATCATCTTGGCAATATACTTTGATGCTGTGGACACTGAGGCAACCATTCTACCAGTACTAACTACTTAACCATCAATTTTAGAATGACAACGGTTTGTTGCCTGTTTTTATTCCAAGTTTTAAATTTTTTTAAAAATATATTTTATTGATTTTTTTACAGAGAGGAAGGGAGAGGGATAGAGTGTTAGAAACATCGATGAGAGAGAAGCATCAATCAGCTGTCTCCTGCACACCCCCTACTGGGGATGTGCCTGCAACCAAGGTACATGCCGTTGACCGGAATCGAACCTGGGACCCTTGAGTCCACAGGCTGATGCTCTATCCAGTGGGCCAAACCGGCTAGGCCAAGTTTTAAATTTTTGAACTTTGTTCATGATGCTTTAAAACTGAAGGACAGTAATGTGCTTAGCTAAAGCCATCTGGTAGTGAAATGGTTGGTGATTTTTTTTAAAAAACAGTGCTGTGTGCAAAATATATAAATGTAAGATATTTTGGACAACTGCAAAAAGAAAATCAAATGATGTCATAATTTCTTTGTGACCTGAAACAGCACTCTGTAAACTTTCCAGCTATGGATTCCCTCTGCAGAGCACCTGGGACCTCCAAGTGTATATACAGGGCACCGAGCTACATGCTCTGTTAGCCAAGGGTATATCCTGCGAACACGTGGTTACCACCAAACCATTATTTCCTTCCCCATGGTGTTCATTAGTTAGACCTAGCTGTTTGTGGCTATACTCTTCACATTTGACCTGATGTATATTGCCTAAAGGGGTATGTGATCTTAGGTACTGGAGGTTTTATAAAAGGATATCTTGGTGTTAGAAGCTACAAATGTGAAAATTGTTGAGAAAAACTGCTCAAAACAAAATCTGCGCTTACAACATTTTCTACAATTAAGTTGTTCAGTAAGCATAGAAGACGAGTTGAGTGAAAATATAATTCCCATGTGTGTTGCAGTTTGGTTCTCCAGGAAAAAATAATTCTGAGATGGAAATTAGCATACAGGAAGTTTATTATGGAGTGTTCTTGGGATTAGCACCTGTGGGGGAATGAAGAAAGAAGGATTTGGCCGCAGGAGAAGCTGAATGAACTGTGATGCAGTTGCAACAAAGGCCTTGGTTGATCCCTGCTGGGAACTCGGGAGCTGGGATGCCACTTCTGAGTTTTTCCGAACTGAGGAGGGTTGGCTGGGCCTTTGTAAACACCGTCCACCAGTGATTGAATGGGCGCTGCTCCTGGTGGAGTGGCATGGCTGTGGACAAAGTGGCTCTCTCCATCAAGGGCAAGTTCCGGAGAGAGACTTGGCTGAAAGTTGCCAGCTGTTTACTCAGGACCTAGAGAGGGAGCGATCTGGGTGGCACACACATTGTTCACTACAGTGTGAAAATGGCAATGGCGAAAAGTGTCATAGCAATAGACATGTTGGGCAGTAAAAATAGCGGAGATCAAATTACCTATATCCTGTACCTTAAATATATCACAACCCTGTCCAAGAATCTGCAGTAACTGCCTACTGCCGCCGTGCCATTTCTAAACTCCATCCTCTGGTTTGTAAGGACCACCATCATCTGGCCTTACCCTACCTACCTCCAACCCTATTTCCCATGAATTTCTAGCTGAGACCTCAAAGTTCATCAGGGAAGTAAGTGGCCTCGCATCTTTATTTCTACTCAGGCTTTTCCTCTTCTCTATTTATATCCTGCCCATCACCACGCTCGCTCTTCTTCCATAAGCTTCTATACATATATGATTGTAATCTCTTCCTTCCCTGGATTTGCAGCTATAGGCTATGCCACAAAATTCACCCCTTAATTATAAATGATCTCCATCTCCACTGTGTGTGTGTGTGTGTGTGTGTGTGTGTGTATGTGTGTGTGTAGGCTTCAGGGACAACTTAGTCCAGTGATGGCGAACCTATGACACGCGTGTCAGAGGTGACACGCCAACTCATTTTTTTTTTGGTTGATTTTTCTTTGTTAAATGGCATTTAAATATATAAAATAAATAAAATTTCTATATGTGACACGGCACCAGAGTTAAGTTAGGGTTTTTCAAAATGCTGACACGCCGAGCTCAAAAGGTTTGCCATCACTGACTTAGTCCAACCCAATTTTATAGATGACTAAACAGAGGCTCAGAAAGATTAAGTTGTAATCTGCCTCTGAACTCCCACATTCCTTTGTTTGTACCTCTTTTATGGTACTTGGTGCTTTCTATTTTTATGTTTACTATCTTCCTACCAGTTTTACCAGTCTTCATCGGTATTTTTGTAGACTCCTTCTCTCCTGCCCATTGCTCCCAGGCTGGTGTTCCCTAAGGCTCT